TTTGTTATGTAGGTCCATATAATTTGCCTATTAACAAAAATATAATTAATTTTATAATTTCGCTCACACGGGTCGTAATTCTAGTTTCTTCTAATTCACAATCGGTGGTCCATGGCGACCGAGGCGCCCTCTTCCGCCGCCGGTAACGCAGAATATAAACTGCCTCGATCGATATTTGAATTGAAGGCGGATTTCTTTGACTCTTGTCGGTTGTTGGATCCTTCGGTCCGGTTAGGACCTGTGGTTTTACCCGCTTTCGATCCGGACAAAAGAGACGAGGCGGAGGAGAAGGGTTCCAAGGACGGAGTGATTTTGGACAGATGGACCTGTCATACTTGTCAAATCGAGTTCGTATCTCTTCAAGATCAACGCTCACATTTCAAGTCCGATATTCATCGCCTTAACGTAAATCCTCTTAACCTTTCCAGTTTCCGAGTAACCTTTTTTTTTGGGGGGTTTTCACTAGAGTTAATTAGGTTGCTGTCTGATTGTAGATTAAGCTGAGTGTTGCTGGGAAGGCTATATTGAAAGAGGAAGATGTTGATGAATTGACATCTGAGTCTGTCCAAGACTATGATGTGTCTAGTATCTCAGGATCAGAGGACGAAGCTGAGTCAGCTAGAGCTTCATTCCAGGTTGTTGATCCTCAAAAGGGTATTGATAAAAAGAAGCTCTTTTTTCGTCTTCAAAGTGGTGATAAAGTTTCTATATGGAGAAGCTTAATCGTGGACGAGGCTGAGAAGGTTTCATACGGGAATGACAGGGGAGGAGGAAGCTCTGTTGATGATTGTGGGAGCTTGGGCGAGAATGAAGTCACTGAGAGGTTGAGAAATTTGATTCGAGAGAATATCAAGGATGATAGGAAAATGTGTGTCGTGTTGCTTGCTAGTGGTGGCCACTTTGCCGGTACTGTCTTTAAAGGAAAATCGGTTGTGGCTCATAAGACATTCCACAGGTATGTCTCTCAAATTCATGTTTGTGTCTCTGCTTGTTGATTACTTTTTAGTTCAGAAATCATGTTTCTCTTTTTACTTATGATACATGAAGTGCACTTGTAGAAATCTGACTCAGGGAAAAGATAATTTTTAGGTCGTTTGGTTTGAAACATTATAGGTCACTTTGTCTTAAAAAGCATGATATGTGCAACATTTAGCTTCTCTGTATCTTGTGCAAATGGGTCTTCCCTAGTGTCTTCTTGACCTTTAAGTCCCTTTCCCATGTATAGATACGTTGTAAGAGCTAAGGCTGGTAAAAAGCAGTCCACAAAAGATGCAAGCGGGAGAAGTATTCACTCTGCTGGAGCCTCACTTCGTCGATATAATGAACTTGCTTTGAAAAAGGTTCTTCTCTGAACATGCTCTTTTCGCCAAAGATTACAAAAAGGTCTTTGGTTTTTTGATTACCGATATTTCTAAGCCCCTTTTGTTGCTGACTATATAATAGGGAAAAAGTGTATAAGGGAGGTTCTGTTATTTGTCTAAACTTGCTCCTGTCACTGTTTTCCTTAACATGGTTTTCAGTTTATGATTTTCCTAAAACCCTTTATCGCAGATCAGATAGTTCTTTTATCTGAAGTGAGGAAAGAATAAATGGCCCCTTATATAACATATGCGGCTCTTCCCATTGTAAAGGCCATTCTAGACTCTGCAGTGTGGTGTGTAGTTTTGAAAACATGGTTTAGGTCTCTTAAACAAGTGGAAAACACGTTGGTCATATTGCCTTGAATGTTGGCAACTCTAACCATCTTTTTCAACTTTGTTAGGATATTCAAGATCTACTTGCTAGCTGGAAGCCTTATTTTGATGGCGCTTCTTGTGTTTTTATCCATGCTCCCTCAAGCAGTAGGCAATTGCTTTTCAATGGAGGCAAACCATATTTTAGCAGCCAGAACTGTGCTGTACGAAACGTTCCATTTACTATCCGGCGGCCAACATTCAAGGAATCACAGCGTATATATAGTCAGTTGACTCAGGTTTCATATGTAACTGAGGAGATTTATGTAAATCCACCAGAAGAAGCCAAAGCTAATATCGTGGTGCACACCCACACTGGTGATATCGCAAGACATGAAGAGCCTGATGAAACTTCTTCTATCAGCATAATCTTAGAGGAACCAAATCATGTAGAAGAGGAGGATCATGGGGATGGAGTTACTGGTACGTCAACTCCATTACATGAAGCTGCTAAATCTGGTGATTTTAAGAGAGTTCTGGAGTTACTGGAGGAGGGTATGGATCCTTGTGCTAAGGATGAAAGAGGCAGAACACCATACATGCTTGCAAATGAAAAAGAAGTGAGAAACACTTTCAGACGATTTATGGCGTCAAACCTTGAAAAATGGAATTGGCATGATGCTAAAGTACCCAGCCCGCTGACCAAAGAGATGGAAGAATCTCAAGCTGCCAAGCAGGTACCTTGCATTGACTTTTTATTTGCCGATTTGAGAGGTTCGGTAAGGATTCTGCATCAGGGAAACATAGGACTAGAGCAGAACTCCTTTCCTTATGCACTGTTTATTTAGGTTAAGCTCTATTCAAGAGTCATTGATTCGTATGGTGTTTTATAAAAGTTATGCATTCATCCTCCCATGATTTTGTGTTCTGGATTCATGTGGGATTCTGAATCCATCATCTGACTAACTTGATTTGTGACGGTTGTGATTATTCAGGCAGAGAAAGACGCCAAGCAGAAAGCAAGAACAAAAGAATTGAAGAAACTACGTAAAGCGCGAGAAAAGAAGGCTCAGGTAACGTTCTAATTCAAAACAAAAACTCACATTAGTCAAGCCAGTTAACTTGTTACCTAACCCTCTTTCTGATTGCAGGCGGAAGCTGCGCAAGCTGAGAAGGAGAAACCGATCTCTAAAGTGGTGAGTTTCGCAAACCCAAAATGTATATATAAGGAGAAGTAAAGTCAACATTTGTTGTCTTTGTTTGTAAATAGGAGGAAGTGAGGAGAGCAATGGCGGCTGCGAGGGAAAAGAGAGCAGCGGCTGCAGAAAGACGGATGGCATCGCTTAACATTCAAAGCAGTTCAACGACATCATCATCATCGGCATCATAGTGGGAGCAAAGACAAAACTAGTTTATATAATAGTATAAATTGTTTTGAACCACATGATACATTTTGAAATTTGAAATCCAAAAAAAATCAACAAAACGTGCAGAAAATGTTGTAATATAAGCTTAGACGTTAAAAATAATACATCTAATGTTTACTTAGTTACAGCTGATAATGTTTGCGACAAAAAAAAAAAAAGTTAATTTTCAGTTAATTTAAATTAC